CCCCCCCCCCAGGTCTAACCATCTTTTGGCAGAAACATTCTACAGAACAAAATATGTTGTGCATTTAGGATGTCAGTCCTCTTGTGCGTGCTGCCACTGTTAAATGTCATCAGACTCACAGTGACTTTCAGCAATCCATTGTATAGGTAGTCATCTTCTTTGGCCTGTCCAGGAAACCCAAACCTGCAGATGGCAGGGCACGCATCCCATCTCCCACCTCCCACGCAGGTGGCTGGTGGGGGTGCAAAGCCCCCCCAAGTGCGGGCGGCCGTTGGGGGCACGCCCCCCCCCCACTGCATGGGTGCCTGGCGGGCTCTCGGCCCCTCTTGCACTGGCGGCCAGCGGGTGCCCACTTCCCCCACCACCACCATCCTGGCTCCAAGAATTCTCTCCAGGACAAGTCCACCTTGCGGCAGTGTGGTAGCTTCACTGCACCAGTCTTGAGGAGGCCTGGTGCCCAGCATCCATCCTGGGTGAGGGAATCCATTGGTTCCGGCTGTGGAAGCCTCATGGAGCTACGGCAGCTGTTCAGCTCTGCGCGGGCTCTGCGGGAGGGGGTTGGGAGCCATGAGACTCATCCATTCCTCCTTGGGAATCCTCGAATTCCTGTTGTTGAGCCTCGATCTTCACTGAGGGCCAGTCATCAGCTGTTTAATTGTTTAATTATCGATAAGCCAAAGTTTGTAGAAGGCCATAGTGGCCCTGCTTTAAGTGGTTCGCTGCTCCCACAGCTCACCACGTTGTCTCTGCCTCCGCCACCATCTTGGATCTAACCGCCCTTCCCTTTTTCATCTTTGTATCTCTTCTCTTTGATAATGAGAAAGCTGGCTCTCTCAGCCTCTATACATTTGCTTATATGTTCATTCTCCTTGTGTACAAAGGGTCTCCCATCTACGCCAGCCATTGTCTTGGTCAGATGGTGTGGACTGAGCCTACTAACTAGCTGAGAATTTTGCCCTATGCTCCAGTAGTGCTGATTAACAGCCTCTTGAAGGCCAACTTTTTCCTGCTAAAAAATGTAAATTAAAAAGAATTTTTTTCTTTTGGTAGGTCTAGACAATTCTAAAGTAAAATGTGTTCTTGCGGGTTCAGACCACTCAGCTTCACTAACAGGTAGGTACTAACTCTTTTAGTTTGACATGCTAATCAGAATTTGTAATGTGACCACCTACCATGGTGATACTGGGATACAAAGGGGAGATTCTAGACTTTGGATTTAGAGCTCACCGCTGGAATGATGTTAGATCAGTTACTTTGCCTATCTGAGATCATATTCTTATCTGTAAAATAAAGGTAATTATGAGGAATATATGCTAATGTGTGTAACCAACAGTTGCCTGTCAGTTAATCATACTGTGGTGGGTTATGTGTTGCTGAGATGTTAGAAGCTATGCTACTGGTATTTCAATGACCAATGGGGTCACCCATGGTGGTGAGGTTTCAATGGAGCTTCAAGGCTGCAATAAATTAGGAAGAAGAAGTTGGCAGTGTATTTAAAAAAAAAAATGGACCGTGAATGAATGGTAATGGAATTTATCTGGTATAGTACCAGAAGATGAACCCTTCAGATTAGAAGGCACTCGAAATATTGCTTCCTTAACTAGAGTCAACCTTGATGATGGGGATGGAGTAAAGCTTTTGGGACTTTCATTTGATGATGTTGTAGAACTCAGAATGAGGAGAGAAAAAGCTACAAACCTCCAGTAGTAATCAAAGCATGAAGTGTGTGAAGTATGAATCAAAGAGCATTGGAAGTGATAAAAAATGAAATGGAACATTTAAAGATCATTATTTTAGACATTAGTGAATAGTGTTGGCCATTTTGAATTAGATAATTGTATACTCTACTGTGCAGAGAATGGCAAATTGAAGATGAATAGTTTCATGTTCAAGATGAATGTTCAAAAAGAAATGACATACAGAAGATAGTCTGTTGTTTCCCAAAAAAATGGTTTGTTGTCGTTATTGTTAAGTGCCATTGAGTCTCAGGTGACTCATAGTGACCCTATGAAGGAGAGTCCTCGATGCCTGTGTGTCCCTCATCCTCTCTCCAGGTTCATAGGGTTTAGAAGGTTTAAAAATGGTTTAGAAGTTCTAAAAGAAAGATTTGTTACAAATACAGCTTCAACAATGGATGAGCTTTGAGCTAATCAGCCCATTTATATATAGGGTTGATATTTTCCTGTGGGAGTTGCTTTTACTATACCTCACACCCTTATGAAGTTCAGGGATTTTGCGCTCTCATTGCGTCTGAAATACCCCAAATTTACATCCTAGAACGTTCTACAATGTCAGATATGCAGGATCACTTGGGTTTGGAAAGGCTTCACTAGTTTGTATCCTCTTTTTTATAGTTGTAGAGACAGAGAGTCAGTGACTAGACTAGACAGTGACTGAAACTCAGATCTTCTGAAACTTGAAATGTTATAGGAGGAACAATACTATAAGGTTATATTGAGATGTCACAGGGTAGAAGAGGAGCCGAAGTGTTGGCTTGAGGTCCCAGGATGATTTCCTTATTAACTATGTAATCTTGGAAAAAATCACTTAACACCTCTTAGTGCTGACTTTTTGTCTCAAGCAGAGCCATTTAGTAAAAACATAATGCCAGCTTTATTTAAAAATTAAAAAAAATGGGTGAAATTAATTTTTGACAATATACTTTACTGAATGTATTATAGCTGTAATAGTACTTCAATACAGAGCCAGTATGCAAATTACTAATAAGCTGTTTTAAAGCCTATAAAATATTCTTATTTACTCTTTGCAGTTTATCAATGTATTTTTAACTTACAACTCATTTCAATTTGGATGAATCACATTTCAGACATTCAGTAGCCACGGATGGCTAGTGGCTACTGTGTCAGACAACACAATTATAAAACCTTAAAATGTTAAAGAGTTGAAAAAACTCTTTGAGATCATCTAAAACACAAAACTCATTGCTGTCAAATTGAAACTGACTGATAGCTGACCTCTCAGCAGGTCTTCAGGCAGCTTTAAGTTGCACGTAAAGAAGGAGACTGCTCATCTTTGTCTCTTGGAGCCTTTGGCTAAGCAGTGTGATTCTGTAGGGGCTGTGCTACCTGAGGTCATATAAAGGAATCATAAACAGACAGAACACAGACCAAATTGTAGACCATGGCCTCACCTTGTTTGCCTTTAAGTTAAAAAAAAACCCCTGGGATGTGACTGCCTTTTAGACGGGCGTGTCCTTTCTGGATTCCAGTTGCCCACCAGCTTCTCTTGTTACCAGCCTATCAGTTCTATTGTCTGACCTTCTGGACCAACTCTCCTCTGTTCAATTTTTAGCTGGTGAAACTAAGGCTTTGAGAGGAAGTGATTTGTCCAAGGTCACATACCAGATCCAGGAATAGAAGCCAGAGTCACTTGACTCTGAATTTGCTGTCTTCCTATTAAATCACAATGTCAGTCACTTGCATCTTGGCTTCTGTAGTACAGGACTGTGAGGAGGTTAGAATGAGCTAATGTGCTACATAGATATGATGCGGTGATGTTTACTTTCTGCTTGGAGTGGCGTGCATACAGTGAAATTCTCTTTCAAAAGTTTATACTTCAGTAATCTATCTTTTAACCTGTTATTTAAAAAAGTTAATGTATTTTTTGCAAGCATGTATTTTCCAAGTGCAAGAATAAAGAAACATATGTCAAACATGGTAGATGTTGAATAAATATTTGCTGAGTGACTAAATGAAAAAGTCACACATTCCTATTCCTTAGTAAATATGTGACCTTCTATCTTATGTATAGAATTTTAACAAATATTGTTGCTCATTTTTATGAATGTTGTCTCATTGTCTACCCTGTTAATCATCGCCACAGAAGGATAAAATCTTTTTAAACCACTTTTTTGTGCTGTTTTCCACCACTTTAGATAATAATCTTGTATCTCTTTTGTTCCCCGTCTATTCTTTCAAGATGCAGGAGAACTGTATATTTGGGGGAGTAACAAGCATAGGCAACTCCCAACCCAGGCTGCTTTCCTTTCTGTGCCCCAGAAGATGGAAGCACACTGTTTTCAGAATGAAAAGGTCACTGCCGTCTATAGTGGATGGACACACCTGGTCGCCCAGACAGGTAAGAGAACAACAGAAAATTCATGATTGGTGAGAGCAGTTGGGGCCAGCAGTCTAAACAGCCATATGTGAGGATGAGAAAGTTGATTTTTATTGACGAAAGCTTAAAAACTGGAAAGGGAAGGGCCTGGGATCTAGTTCTGCATTCAGCTGGCTTTCTGACATTTTCTCTCTGGTCACAGGTTTGTACCTAAAAAGACATTTTTGGGTTAGATGAACTTCGTCTCATTCTCAGAGTCCATGTGGCTTTGAGAAGGAACCCACTGCAGCAAACATCTCCCAGAAATTCATCTAAGTTGTTTGAAGGGTCTTTGTCTTTTCATAGTTGAGAAAATGATAATTATTTGCATTTCCACCTGAGTCTAAGTTAAAAATGCCAGAAAATGTTAAAGATATCTTTCAGATTTGGAGCAGGAACTTTATTTTGGACCACAGTGGCATGGTATTCCAAGTGTAACTTTTGTTGACCGTAACTAACTATCTGCATTGATTTAGACATCCCATGCATTCCGTCAGATGTTACCCTGTCATGCTTTACAGCTTCTGGCATCTCTGCCTTCTCTGTACTTTTCCTCTCTTCCTTATCTTTCCGTCAGGCAGATCTCCTTTCCTGTCTTCCACCGTTCTGACTTACTCTCTGGTTTTGCTTTTGTCATGGCCTCTCTTCATCCTTGCCTTCCCTGCTCCTGCAGATTTCCAGGGGTCTCCAGACACGCAATTTGCAATTCTTAAAATTTATTATCATGAAAAAAAAAAAAAATTTATTATCATGTCACACCTTCGCCACTTCAGGGGTTTTAGGAGTTCTCTTGCCTGCTTTTCACTTGCTTATTAGCTGCACAAGACCAACTACCTGGAGAGTGTTATTCCAGTACTTTGAGTTTCACAGGCTTTCAGGACAGCTTCAGTTATCCTTGGTAAGTTACACATACTTCACAATTGCATACATAGACATAAGTTTAGCAGCATTTGTATGTATTGATGTTGTTGCTATGGACTGTCAAGTCAGAACTGATCCATAGCTGACCCTCCAGTGTGTTTCTGGAGGCAGTAAATCACATGGCAGGAGATTGCCCATCTTTCTCCCTCAGAGCAGCCGATGAATTTGATCTGCGTGTCTTTGGGTTGACAGTGCAGCTCCTAGGATGCATTTAACTCGTCTTTTAACAAAGTTTTGTAATCCATTTTGGGACAGAGGCCTATATCACAAAGGTGTATAATGAACTTTCCATATTTGCCAGTTCAGAGAATGCTATAAGAGAATATATGATTCATTTGGAGGAAAAGAATAACTGTCCTCAAAGAGATTCAGACTTCTTGAAAATCTTGACCACCTACAGGAACTTCTTTTTAAAAAGGCACACTGATCATGAATCAATTGCTATCGACTGATTCTCATTCATGGTGACAACATGTATGTGGAATCTAACTGTATCCTGTTGGGTTTTCAAAGCTGACCGCCAGGCCTTTCTTCTCCGAGAGGACTTTCGAGAGGTTTGAATTGTCAACCTTTTGGTTATCAGTTGAACACTTAATCATATGTGCCATCTAGGATCATAAGTACCACCTTAATCATACATGCTACTATGCCTTCACTGAGAATAGTAGCTGCTTATTTATGTAAATTTTTTTCACTATTTCTTTTTTCCCCTCCAGACCACTAACCTTGTGAAGGAAAGTACCATATTAATCCTCTTCACTTTTGTATCTCCACAGCCTCTTGGAGTATGTACGCATTTTCCTGAGCCCAGCTGTTTCTAGTTAAGAAAGACTGTTGTTATGTGCCATTGAGTCACTTGTGACTCATAGCGACCCTAGGTACAGCAGCTCTGAACCCTGCTCTATCTATCCTGAGCCAATTTCACCGTCGCCAACAAACCTACCCAATTACCTCAGTTACTGAGTCAATTATTCTCATCCAGGATCCTCCTCTCCTGTGCAGTTCCTCCGCCTTTCCAAGCATGATGTCCCTCTCCAAGCACTGGTCCCTCCTGGCAACATGCCCAGAGAATGTGACATGGAGCTTCAAAATTCTTGCCTCCAAGGAACAGCCTGGTATCACCCTCCCCAGGATTATTGTTTATTCTCTTGGCAAACCATAGAATGTTCAATACTCATTTTCCAGCACCACAACTCAAAAGCATCGATTCTCCTATCATCCTTAGTCATTGTCCAGCTGTCTGATGCATAGCAAGTAATTTTAAAGACCATGGCTTGGGATCAGGTGCACCTTAGTCTCTAGACTGACATTGTTGCTCTTTAGTTATCTGGAGAGGTCCCTGACAGCATATTTTCCCAGTGCAATTTGTCTTCTGATTTCTTGGCCACTGGTACCAAGAGTGTTGATGGTGGAACCAAGCAAGCTGAAGGTATTAACAATCTCTGTCTCCTCCATCTATTATGATGTCACCTTGATTGGCCCAATGTTGAGAAATTTTGTTTTCTTGACATTTGAGCTTCAGTCCATATTGAAGGCTGCAGTCCTTGATCTTCTGCAGCAAATGCCTCTGGTCCTCCTCAGTATCAGCAAGCAAGGTTGTGTCATCTGCATAATGTAGGTTGTTAACGAGTCTTCCTCCAATCCTAATGTCACATTCCTCCTCAAAGTTCAGTGTCTCAGATGATCTGTTCTGCATATTGATTGAAAAGGTGTGGAGACAGGACACATCCCTGATGCACCCCTTTCCTGATTTTGAACCATACAGTGTTTCCTTGCTTTGTTCTGATGACTGCTTCCTGGTCCAAGTGTAGGTTTCGCATGAACACAATCGAGTATTCTGGGATTCCCCTGCTTCTCAAGATTAGCCACAATTTGTTGTGATCCACACCAAACATACTTCAATATGCATTTAAGACACATTAGAAGGCTAGGCTAGGATTGCTGACTTCTTCACTCGGGCTCAGTGGCAATAGCCTCTGGTTCATGAAGTGGATTTCAGCTTGTCTCTTTGGAGGTAGGAATCTGACTAGGTCAATTAATATTTATTATGCACCTTTTGAGTAATATGCTGAGTCTTAGAGAAACAGAAAAGACATGGTGCCTTTCAACTCAAATGTCCAGATAGATCAAGAATATAGAGATGTAAGATTCTCCTTTCTACTTGCTTGTCTATCCACCCACTTTCCTGTCCAACAAATAGTGTGTCTGTTTAAATACCATGCCTAGTACTAGATACAGACTTTGCCTTTAAGACATCCACTGCCCACTGAGGGAGACCAACTGTGAGTAACTTTAATCTTACTTCAGTGTGAGACTTGCAGTAATAGAGCACAAAAGTAGCAGAGACACTGTGAAAGATGTTGTTAGGAAAAGATTTTTTTTCTAAAGACTTATACAGAATGTTGGCAGGATTTGAAGGCTGGATAGAATTTTCCAGATGTCCTAGGGTTAAATGGGCATACTAAGAGTTTGCTACTCAAAATTTGTCTGAGAATTGGGAACCTCGGTATCATTTGTAGCTTGCTAGAAATGCAGACTCTCAGACCAGACCTTCTGAATCTGAACAACAGTTTAACAAGCTCCTTTGCCTGTTAAAGTTTGAGAAACACTGACCTGTGATACCCTACCCTTCAAAACATAGTTGTAGATCCCTATTTAGTGGAATGTATCCTTCTACAGAATCCTTTGGTTCAAGTTATTACTAAATAAATGTAGGGTCTGGGTAAATGACTTGAAGGTAATTTTCAAGCATCTGTGAAGCAAGTTGCTTTTTTGTTAAGGTACATTCTATTTATTTTGTGTGTTGATCAAAGTCCTTTAAATTTAATTGCTTTGTTAGTCTTTTTTTAAAATTTTTTAAAAATTATGTATTATTCATGGATATTGCTTCCTCCCCCCAAACTCTGTGACCCCGTGATTTCTCCCCTCCTGACATTCAATGTCCCTACCCCTCTCCATCCCTCTTTGGGTATCTGTACACATCTTACTGATTATCCTTCAGGTTTTACAATAATGTTCTTATGCACCTGGGTTAGTTCACGTAGCATAATGCTCTCTAGCCTACCCCATGTTATATAGTATTTTTCAAAATTGTGACTTCTGAGTGCTTCATAGTATTCCATCTTGTAACTGTACCGTAGCTTCTCAGTCCAGTCATTTGTTGATGGACATTTGGGCTATTTTTATGTTCTTGCCATTGTGAATAATGCTGCTGTGATCATCAGTATGTACAAATCTCTGTTTTTATCTCAGTTCTGTTTTCCTTGAGGCTTTGTTAGTCTTTTAACTTGAATTGTGTCAAAATAATACAACACTTTAATTTTTTTAATAAAGTATT